CAAGACTAGCTGCTTTAGAAGTAACAAAGGAACGATGACTTCCAGCATCAAAGAGAACCCACACCTTAGCCACCCTTTCACCCCTTAAAACCCCGCGTGCAGTTTGCAAGGCAACCAGGCTACCAGTTCCCGCATGCAAGTTACTACTGGAACTAGTCACATGCACATTAGTATTAACAGGGACCTGTTTAGATTCTTCGTCAGGTTTGACTGTTTTATCACGTTTATCGTCTTCTTTAGGGCTTGCATCACACAATGCAACATGATGTGCCCCATTGCAAACATTACACCTATTTTTAACAGTACAATTACTGGCTCTATGGCCCTTAAATAAACAAAGAAAACATCTACCGTATTTACGAGCCAAACTCTTTCGTGTCCTCGGATCTTTCACTCCCTCACAGTCTTCATGGTTGTGGTTCTTCAGACAGAATGCACAGTTTCCTCTCCTTTCGTTTGCTAACAATGCAGCTGCAGTTCCATGATGACGTTGGCCATATTTCTTTATATTACCCGAATTTCTCTCGTGTCTTTCCTGCTCTCGATCCGAATTCGTTCCCACTGCATTGTGTGCTTCACGAAGTTCGAGTTCCTTCTCAAAAGCGTTTAACATTTCTTCCATCGACCATTCCAGAAAGTTCTGCCCTCGCGTGATGGTCAAACGAAACTGTTCTGGCAACTTTTCCATGATTGTCGGAACAACAATGGCTGAATACGAGTCTTCGTTCACTCCCAGGGCTTTCAATGCGCGGTTGTTCGCTTCGCAGCTGTCATACAACTTCCGTAATCTTTGTGTATCTCTTTCTTTATAAACCGCCGGCAATTGTATCAGTTCATTTACGTGCGCCCGTTGTACTGCGCTTTTCTTTTCGAACCGTTTCTTTAACAATTCCACCGCACACTTGTAATTCGCTCCCGTCAACGAGAGACCAGCGATGGTAGACTTTGCTGGCCCTTCCAAATATCCGCGCAGATAGGCGAACTTGTCAACATCCGACAATTGGTCATTGTTGTCTATCGAGCTGGAAAATCCATCCCAAAACTCTGGCCATTCACAAATCTTTCCGCCGAAATTCCGTAGTCTAAGTTTCGGAAGCTTCGCTCTTATGATTTTACCCGCACTTGATATTGAAACATGACTTTGATCAAGGTTTCCTTCGGCTGATGTGAGATTCGTTGGCGTCAACAATGGCAGGCTTTGTCCTCCGAGTTTTCCTAGCGCGTCATCGAGTTGAAGCAACGTTCTTTCCAATTCTGCGATCGCTTCGTCTGAATCCTCGATCTCTTTGCCAAGTTGTTCGTCGACGTCTTCGTCTTTCAATGCGCTGAGTATATCAATGACTTGTTCATCGAGCTCTTTCAACATTTTGATTTTGTCTCGTAATGTGATCTGGCTTTGTCTCAGCCATACTAAGTCCTTCTCTGGGCTCTCTGGGCTTGCTTTCGGTATCGCTTCCATTATCTTTGCCACAAGCTTACTTGCCGATGCTCTGTGGCCTCCTCTAACTCGCTTTTTCTTCGTCAGATCGTCCATACTCTTCGTTTTCAAACTTTACGCAAATCTTTCCACTATCGACGGCAGCGCAAATATCAAACGTTCTTTGTTCGCAGCCTCGTACATAATTCACAAATCCGGTTCGATCGGACCACTGTTTTGCAGAATCTTCACTTTGATCTCCGCGCACACTGGTTGACACACAATAACATTCAGGGGACTGTATTCTATCGATTTATTTCATTGGAAAGATTATCTATTTACAACGCGATTTTAGACTTCCTCGTCTCGCTACGATCTGATCACAACTGAATTTATATATTTGCCTCAATCAATGTTGGTATTAAATTACAATGAATCACTATGAGGTATTTTAAGCAATACTATATACATATTTGTACATTAAGTAGCAGAAGCAACTGCTGTGCGGAAAACTGGCGGCACTGCGCTGGGAACTTACAACAATCCGCTAAGAAACAAGGTTGTTCAACTGGAATAAAGCACGTCAAAGTTGTTAATTAATTATATTAGTTGTTAGTTATTCATTTAGTTAGATTGCAATGCTATGTCTACAACTTTTATAATTGGGATCAGGCAAAAAACTACAAAAATGGAGTCTTTTTGCTTAATACTTTACTATATTTGAACTTTTGAAAATGGTAAAATAAAATTATCTAGTTTTAAATCTTAATTTAGTCGTTAAATTATAATTTAATTATAATTTAACGACTAAATTAAGATTTAAAACTAGATAATTTTATTTTACCCATTTTAGTAAATTACGATTATGTCGATTAGCTCAATAATTGATGTATAATAGTTTAAAATATATTATCACCTTATTTACTGGACACATATACAGTATAGTATCTTCCACATTCAATATATATAATTAAATTTATATGCATGTTCAACCTCGTACCCAGGCTCTTTCCACTACGCGGAAAGAGCCTGGGTACGAGGTTGATACATGTTAATGTTTTAGTTATATTTTGTTATATACTTTTATCCTTATTCAATATAATAATTCGAACAGACTAAATATAAGAATGAAATAATGTAAGTATAGAGGCCCAAACAAAAACAAGCAAAACGAATTATTGTCTCATTTACTGCAGCTTGCCAGTTAGAACAGGAAGTGAATACGACCGATAGTGCCTTTATGTAAATGTTTGTAAATTACATGCACATGTACCAATTTGAATTCAATTTGAATAATGTTTAGTATTCACATAACATATGCGATGTCAGTATTTGCTCCCAGCGGCTACAGAAAGGTCATACGTTGTACTTCATCTTACTAAATGTCTTCGTTCCAACCACAATTCTGGATGAATAGCATAGCATGCATTAGGTTTTTAGATTACCAGAAAACAAAATTTCATTAAACATGTTAAAATGTGGAGGGATAATTAGATATTCGTCCCCCCCACTCCAAAAACTGGGGTGACGCGTCCCCCCCACCCCTCCCCCCAGGATTGACGTCCATGCGAGACGCAAAGTTCGCGCAAGGCATTTTGTGCAGTGCTGGGTAAAATTAATTGGCGACAGATGTGATTTTTCACCGAGCCCGCGTTAAATATTCACTGGTAAAAAAACAGATTGGTTTAAACTTCATCTAACCCTCATTTAATACATACTGAAATAATTAGCCTAATTAGAGTTAGAAAAGGTACGTGTTTCAAGCTGTGTGCCGCAAATAAGCGAACAAGATTTTAGGTTTCACACTGATGCGCAGCATAGCATATATTCTACAGAATTTTTGCATTAATGACAGCATGAAGCTATATATTCAAGGATTGCCTTTTTTATACAATACATTTTATCAGAGGGGGCCCAAAATTTTGCCAGGGGGGGGGGGGCGGGCCCCCCGGCCCCAGCCCTGGCTACGCCTCTGGTAAAGCCCTACAGAAATCATGTTGTGATTTGAAAATCGTTGAACTTTAATTATACAAGCCAGAGAAAAATAAGGTGAACAAGTTGCGTTAGGCTTCCAACAACGAGCAAGTGGTCTTGTGGTAAAATCTACAGGCTATGTGACGTACCAGCTGTGGCACACGTCCTCCAGAAGCCATTTTGTAATTTGAAAATGGTTGAATTTAACTATACAAGAGGAAAAATAGGGTGAATAAGTTTCGTTTGACTTCCAACAACGAGAAAGTTGTCGTGTGGTAAAGTCTACAGACTGTGTAATCTACGAGCTGTGGTTCAAGTCATAAAGGAGACATTTTGTGATTTGAAAATGGTTGAATTTAGATTAAAGAAGCAACAACAGAAGAATATGGTGAATAGGTTGCGTTAGGCTTCCAACAACGAGCAAATGGTGTAATGGTAAAGACTACGCTGGGTTTAATGTACCATTGTGGTCTAAGTCTTTTTCCTTGACGCTTTGAGCAAGATACGCCAGGAATTTTCCTCAGAAGTTTCGGGGAAACAGAATCCCCGAATTTTGTCCCACTCCGCATACGGCCGGCCAGATCGATTGCCTGAGCACGAAGTCTCAGCCGGTCTTACCCGGACTCGATCTTTCCACCATATCACCCGAAGGCTTTGAGAGGTACCTCTAGACTACCAGGTCTATTGGTGAAAGATTAATGTTTTCTATCATAGCTAATCTTTTGTCATCAGCCCATAATTAATTCGCACCCCTGACAAAGGCCAAAAGGTCCGTGTCAGGGTAGGAAACGAACCTGACTTCACCGATATGCGACACATAACCGAGACCACTAGTCACTAGACCATGGAGGATGTTGCTTGTTAGCTGGTACTTTTGATTTTATTTAACCCTTTACTCTTTGAGGTGGAATCAAACACTAAAATGAATGTTAAACTGTGCTATTTGTCTCACAATTTTGTTACGACTCAAATTGCACGCGAAATTGCAAGTTGTATCATGTCTCGCAATCAACAAGTCTCGCAATGTTATTGTTGCTACAACCATTGCACGAAGTAAGGAGGTTCAACTTATTGCAGCAATTGCGCACAACGCTGTAACAGTGTAAAAGCATTTTTAAAGCATTGCACAGTGTAACATCCCTCTTGCAACTAGTCTCGCAATGTTAATACACTGAATGCCTTCCTATTGACTTTTAATTAATATGGCGCCAAACGTTAGCACTCGCGGTTTTATACTATTCTGATTGCAAGCTGCATGGGACATATTGCTTGGTGTAACATTTCTTGCAATGCAATGTTGAAATCCTCTTTCTTAACTTTGCGTGACAAGTTTCAAGACAAGTTGCTTGAACTTTCTGTCAAATACTAATATGAATGTTGAGCTCAGCAGGGATCGATCCATAGTTTCCCAACATACGACACTGTGTTGAGTCCAGTACAGTATCTTGACTGTTGGTTTTTAAACGGGTCAAACATGTACAGATGAAAAACCAACAGCCGAATTAGTGTACTGGACTCAACACAGTGTCGTATGCCTGGAAACTATGGATCAATCCCGATCTCACGACGATTTCAGCATTGATTGCAAGGGATGTTATAACAAACAATATGCCCATGCAACTTGCGATGATAATAGTATTAACACTGCGAGTGCTAACGTTTGGCGTAAGATTGACAGTCGAAAGCCAATAGGAAGCCAATGTATATCAGCATTGCGAGTCTATAGTTGCACTGCTCTAAAAATACGTTCCAGCATTGCCGCAATCGTTGAAAAAAGTAGAACCAATCCTTCGTGCAATGGTTGTTGGAACAATAATATTGCGAGACTTGTTGACTACGAGACATGACACATCATGCAATTTCGCGTGCACTTGTATCGCAACAAAATTGCGAGACATATAGCACAGTTTAACATTCACTTTAGTGTTTGATTCCACCTCAAAGAGTAAAGGGTTAAATAAAATCAAAAGTACCAGCTAACAAGCAACATCATCTATGGTCTAGTGGTCTCGGCTAAGTGTCGCATGTCAGTGAAGTCAGGTTCGTTTCCTACCCTGACACGAACCTTTTGGCCTTTGTCAGGGGTGCGAATTAATTATAGGCTGATGACAAAATTGGACAGATTGGACAAAATTCGGGGTTTCTGTTTGCCCGAAACGTCTAAGGAAAATCCTGGCGTATCTTGTTCAAAGCGTCAAGGAAAAAGACTCAGTAAAATTTTTCCTTTTCTCCCGGGCCTCCTCCCCGGGGGGCCTTCGCCCTTTCCTCTCTTGCCACCTTCCCACCGCACGCTGTCATAATATAAGTCTACCGCGCATGCGCCACACCATGGTAGCTACTAAAGATTAATTTCAACGCCAGTATCTTCTCCAAATATTTGTCCGCCCGCCATATTCTTTTGCTTTCTTCTTCTTTCCTCCGCCGTTTTTTTTTCTTTTTTATTTTTTCATTCATCCTCGAACCGATCCTGATACACGGCACTGGCTGTTATAGGCCGATGTCGCTACCACTAGACCACTTGCTCGTTGTTGGAAGCTTACCGCAACTTATTCACCTTAACCTCTTCTCCTACCTTGTGTAATTAGTATTCGACACATTTCAAGTCGCAAAATGACTTTTATAGGACTTGAACCACAATGGTACATTACACACAGTGTAGTCTTTACCATTACACCATTTTCTCGTTGTTGGAAGCCTAACGCAACTTATTCACCTTATTTGTTGTTGTTGTTGTTGTTGTTGTTGTTGTTGTTGTTGTTGTTGTTGTTGTTGTTGTTGTTGTTGTTGTTGTTGTTGTTGTTGTTGTTGTTGTTGTTGTTGTTGTTGTTGTTGTTGTTGTTGTTGTTGTTGTTGTTGTTGTTGTTGTTGTTGTTGTTGTTGTTGTTGTTGTTGTTGTTGTTGTTGTTGTTGTTGTTGTTGTTGTTGTTGTTGTTGTTGTTGCTTGTTTAATCTAAATTCAACCAATTTTCAAATCACAAAATGTTTTCTTTATGACTTGAACCACAGCTCGTAGATTACACAGTCTGTAGACTTTACCACACGACCACTTGCTCGTTGTTGGAAGCCAAACGCAACATATTCAACTTATTTTCCTCTTGTATAATTAAATTCAACAATTTTCAATGGCTTCTGGGGCTTTGCCC